ACCAAGTAGCAGAAGTGAATTCCAATATAAATGACACCATGCCAGCAGCTTACTCTTGTTTATATTAAGGGGGATCGAGCTTAAGCATCTCTGCTGATCTCACCTGTGGCGACAGTGAGCAGCTAATAGTGGAGTTTCCAGGAGGGAGTTTGGGGGATTTGCTTTATAAGTACGGTTTTGACTCAGCAACAAGGATAGAGAGTCATCAGCTAGTCTGATAGTCATCAGTGGTCTGCAGTGGATGTGCCATCTTCTGCTTCCTGCCTGAAGAGAGAGGAGACTTTGTCTGTATGAAGTGCAAGCTGGTAGCCCTGATGGAGATGAAGGTTTGTGGTCTTGAGGAACAGCTGACTATTTTGCAAAGCACCAGGGATATGGAGGATTTTCTGGTCAATACTACAGCAAATCTCACAGGGTACGGTAACAGAATCAGGTGACAAAAGCAGACAAGGAAATGAAGATAGGAAGATAGATTTGTCACCACCAGAAGTAGGAGAACCCAAAGGGCATCTTCACAGCTGGACATATCAAATCACTATTACGTGCTGAGACATCTGAAAAGAACAACCAGCAAGATCCAGTTGGAGCAAAGGACCTACAGACAGCAGAGAAAAGAGCTGAGAACTGCTGCCCAGCTCAAACTAGATGGACTCAGACAAGTTCAAGAGAGCATATCCACAACTGGCCAGAGAGGAAGACAATCCTCAATGGGGATTACATGCTAAAGAGAATGGAATGGACATTCTGCAAGGGCTAGAAGGACGGCAAGACAGTTTATTGTTGCCTTCCAGGAGCAAAGACAAAGGGCATCACCACAGGAATAAACAAAATTCTGAAGCTGACAGGAGAGATTCTTTAGGTGGTGATCCACATTGGCACCCATGACACTACATCTGGCACTATTCCAGAGATCCTAGAAGACTTCAGAGATCTCGGAAGGGAACTGAAGGAGAGGACTATCCAGACTATCTTCTGGGAATCCTTCCTATGCCTCAAGCGTGAGAAGAAAGATATCAGAGGTGAACAGTTGGTTAAGTAAGTGGTGTAGGGGAGAAGGTTTTGTGGAATATTGGGGCACCGATCACAGTAGAAATGGTACCGATCTCCTGGGTGATAGCCCAGCAAGGGTATCTGGGAAGGCTTTAAACTAACCATGAAAGGCAGAGGGTGTTAATGGAGCAATCATGGTGCCAACACCCAAATATGTAAACCAGCCACATGGTGTCATGCATATGACAAATCCAAGTACAAAGGGTCATGTAAGGGACACATTTTTAATCATCTATATTCTGATGCTAGGAGCCTACGTTATAAACAAGAGGAGTTGGAGATGCTCATATATGAGAAGAAATATGATGTGGTTGGTATTACTAGAACTTGTGGGATGGTTCATGTGATTGGAACATTAAAACTGATGGTTACAACTTATTCCATAGAAATAGAGGGAAAAAGAGGAGGGGGTAGCACTTTACATCGAAGACACAGGAGACTGGAGTGTTACCCAAGGACCTCTTGATGCCAATTGGCATAGGGCACAGGAGATGCACAGAGTTTTACATGGATCCCCTGCATCAGGTATGCACATAATAATTCACCAAAGGGTGGTAGGTGAGGTCTCTACTGAGAGCCAGTAGTCCACTGATCATCATAATCATTTTGAAATGCATGTACAGTTAATATTTAAGGAGCTATGTATCTTTAATAGGAGTTATGTTCTCAAAACCTAGGCCTTAAGGCAGGTAACCAGGAGATGATGTGACTCAGACTGGTTCCTTCCAGACAGGATGTAATAAATGCTTATCTCCCTGTCTGGGCATTGTGTATTGTCCATGGCACAATATAGATCTATTTGCATCTGGAGCCAACATGCTAATCAAGGGATTGTGAAATCTTCAAGAGAGGAAATTTACAAGAAGAAATAAAACAGCAGGAGGGGGATCCTGTTTATGAGTAAAGAGAATGAATTGTTGGAGTATATGTGGGGGGCGCAGGTACCCCCCCTGCACCCTTCATTAAGGAGGCAAGCTGGCAGTGTGACTTGTCTCACAAACAGAAGATCACAACTGAGCCTGGCTGTAAAATGCTGGGAGGACTTTGGGATGAGCTTTGCTATATAAGACAGGAAAGTAACTTGTTAAATAAATCTATGTTCTAGAATGCAAGTTATGAAATTATTTTATATGTAACTATTTGTTTCCAATATTCCTACTTGCCGTCATTTGAATCTCTTCTCTTTGTTAAATAAACTTTTGCTTGTTTTCCCTATAAATATATCTAAGTGCTGCACGTTAAATGGAACTGTGATCTGAGGTGAAACTGGTAAGCTGGAGTGCTCTGCTTCTTTGGGAGCAGCAAATCTGTGAACTCTGTGAGTGTCCAATGGACCAAGGGCTAGACACTCCTGGGGGACGCTTGGAGGGCTCAGCGGTTGGAGTGTGCCCATCACTGACCTGCAGAGGGCCAGCGATGCCTGCTTCGGCTGAGAGAGGAGTGCTTGTGTTGCCCAGGGCTGGTGGAGTCAGGGAGTTGACACATGACAGACACAGATAAGGCTTCTTCATGCTAAGGACAGGTGGTAGCGAGGTGCCTCCCAACCATGGGTACCCTTGGGAAGTGTTACACTGAGTCATAGAGGATTCAGAATCACAGGACCTTGAAAGCTTATAAATTAAAGTTCTAACTAATAAAACCAAAGATGGGCTACTGGTGGGCATGTGTTACCGGTCACCAAATTCCACTAGTGAGCAGGATGAACTGCTCCTTAGGCATCTGCCCATAAAGGGTAGAAGGAAAAAATGTGTTATCATGGGTGACTTCAGCCTGGGGGACATTTGCTGGACATCTCATGTAACCAGTAACAAAATTTCCTTACAGTTTCTAAACATTAATAGCTGATGATTTCTTAATACAGAAAGTCCTGAAACCAATATGATGGGGTGAGGGAACTCAATACTGGATGTCATTCTGATGGCCAAAGATGATTTAATAGCAGGCCTAAAAATCAGTGGTTGCCTAGATACTAGTGATCATGATCTGATTATATTTACTTTGTGCAAACAGAATATGGCACCAACTAGTAATATGTTTATTTGGAACTTTAAGAGGGCCAACTTTCCAAAGAATAAGGCAATTAATTGTCAATATAACTGACTGGGAATATAAATTTAAAACGGGAAGTGTTAAAAAAAAACTGGTAATTGATCAAGAACATCCTACTGGACGCCCAACAGCCACAAAAAAGATTATCCTGGGCAACAAATCATCCTGGTTAAAAGCAGTCCACATGGTGGGGCTACCCCAGAACTGTAGACTCTGAGAGCCCCGGCAGTAGGACAGTGAAACTGACAGTCTTATCAGTTTTGATGCTACTAGTAACAGTGATGAAACTGACAAGACTGTCAATTTTACTCAGTAGCTGTCTGGGCCTGGAGAGCAGATTTCACTTTGGAAACTCCATATGTCAGTAATGCTGAAACAAATTTTGGGGGGATTTCTGGTTCATAGGAAATAAAAAAACAAACTGAATTACTTCCCATTCGGAATGAAACCAAATGTTAAAACTGCAAAATTTCCTGTGAACTGGAAATCCCGTGTTTTGGCCAGCTCTACTCCTAATGTCCAACTCCACTTAATAAGCAGGCTCAACATTCGACACTAGCTGAACTTCTGAATGGTCCCAAGGTGTCATCCCATTGCATTGGTAACTAATGTTAGTGTAGCTGCAGTACATAGAGCAGGAATAAAAGGAAGGCAACACTAGTAGCTTCTTCATCCTCTGATGGCTTGCTTTCACTAGATGGGTTGTATTTCATCTTCATACTTCACTTGTTTGGCTCCCTTGTATGCAGGCTGGGAAAGGTGAAACGCATGTGAACAAGACCTGCTGGTCGGCAATCTGCCATTTTTTGCCTTGTACAAATCTCTGTATTTTCTCCTACCCTTTAAAGTATGACATGTTTGGGCCAGGCTTTCTGCCTGCTGCTCATTTAATAAAGGGAACTGAAACACTTCAGGGAAGTGGGAATAAAATGAAGATGCACTGATCCCTGTCAGCTGCATGCTCCATTAACTCTAGCTTGGTTTGGTTACTTTTTATAGCAGGGGGTCGGCAACCTTTCAGAAGCGGCGTGCCGAGTCTTCATTTATTCACTCTAATTTAAGGTTTTGCGTGCCAGTAATACATTTTAACATTTATAGAAGGTCTCTTTCTATAAGTCTATAATATATAACTAAACTATTGTTGTATGTAAAGTAAATAAAGTTTTTAAAATGTTTAAGAAGCTTCATTTCAAATTAAATTAAAATGCAGAGCCCCCGGACCGGTGGTGAGGACCCAGGCAGTGTGAGTGCCACTGAAAATCAGCTCACGTGCCGCCTTTGGCATGCGGGCCATAGGTTGCCTACCCCTGTTTTATAGGTTAGTGAAATTCTCCCAATCTCATATGTTAGTATTTATTTATATTACAGAAGCACCTAGAAGCTCCAACTGAGATTAAGGACCCACTCTACTAGACTCTGTCCAAAAATATAGCAAGAGACAGTCCTCTGCCCCAAAAAGTTTACAATCTAAACGGATAAGGCAGACAAAAGGTGGGAGAAAGGAAATATTATGGTCCCCATCGTACAAATCATGAACAGGGGCAGAGAGAGAGGTAAAGTGACTTGCCCAAGATCACATAGGAAATCGGTGGCACGGCCAGGAATTGAGCCTACATCTCCTAAATCCCACTCCAATTCCTCACTGTGTTTATTGTTTTTAGTAGACCACATAGTCTCTAGCTCCCTCCAATGGAAGGAAGAGTGAAGGACAGCACCTTTCATGTCCTTTGAGTATTTTGTTATTTCTTTGGTTTAATAGTTCACATCAGAGTTCTAAAGTGTTCTGATAATATTCAGCAAACCTTCTAAGCCATTAGAAATGTTGAAACTGTTGTGGAAAATCTATTAGCGTATTAGAGTACTGCCACGATAAACGTACACAGGAATTCAAGGTCATTTACCTTAGATTCTTTCTTCTTTGCTTTCTGGGGTAGAGAGGGTCTCTGAAGAAAGACAATCTGCTTAGTGGCTAAATTCCCCTCCCTGTAAAACATAATCCTGAAAATGAGTCAAGCTCATACAAAGTAGGATTCAAAATCCAAGAAATACCTCAGTCATTTGCTTAAACTGGGCAAAAGAGAACCACCAGAAATGACCGAAACATCTGACCGTCTCAAGTGCGTATGGATAGAATGGTATTTGTTGGGAAGCATCAGCCTAATTTAGGCTCATGTCTAATTTGATGCACCTAAAATCCCAGTTCAATCGCTGATGTTTTTTCTGCCAAATGTTTTAGAATTCGAGAATCAACACAGAATAAAGTTTTTGAAAAAAAATCAGTCTATGTGACATGCACTATAATCTGTATGTGCACTACAATGTCAATTACACATTGCAGCGTGTTTTACTAGCCAAGCAATAAGAGCTGACAGATTCTGCAATAGTGATAGCACTGATTAATGCACAGCTCAGATGTGTAGTGAAGCACAAGGCAAAGCCAAATGCCTCCATCATTCAGGCTGTGCGTTAATCAGCACTAACGACCAATCTGAAGCATTTTATGGAGGTAATTATAAAATGGTTCACAGAAAGGAGTGGAAAGAAGGGAGGACACAGCACAATGTTGCAAAAGGGGATTAAAAATCCTTATTTGTGTTTTTTCATCCACTGATTTATTCAAAAGTGTATGAAAAACATTAGATTAGAATAACTCCTTCCACTGGTTTTCCCAGCATGTTTGGTCTTTATAGACTGTAAGAATTCAAGGACAGGAATTGTCTTCATCTGTGTCTCATACACCACTGGGCACAATATTGGTGCTTTAATAAAGAACAAATTGGCATATTGATCTATTTTTTTATTCATGACTGATGAAGAACCCTATTTGAATAGCAGTTCCGGAATGTGCAGTAGTAAGGACCGACTGTTGTCACATGCCTGTATTTTTAGCCAGTCTCCATTAAGAATGTTTTAAAACTATTTACATTTCTATTAATATAATGATGCTTATGATGCAAAAGTAGATATAAAAATGACCCAAACCCACCAACAAAGGAAATTCCAATTGAAGGCTCCTACAGTACTATCAGTATTATTTCACCCGCTTTCGCTGAGCTACTGTAGCAAATGATGTATAACACCACACACTGTTCTGATAGCTACTGATGAAAGACAACATGTGCTTCTACCGCTGGGCCACACCACTCTACAAACAGCACCACAGTTAGTTAGTTTATTTTTTAAATGGAGCTAAGAACTTACACCTGCAGCCGGCACACCACATACAAGTCTGGCAGCACCCCCACCCCCTTCCTGCCCAGCAAGATTTGTGGCAGGGCTGAGGTGGGGACAGAAATGCTCAGACTGGCCCAGTGGCAGCTGCAATGTGGCTTTCCTGGACAGTTTAGTGCACATGTGCAGGGAACTCTATGTGAGGAGAACGGGGAGTTGTTAGCACAAACTATCATGTTGATACAGAGGCTTCCTTAACCAAAATGCAGTGCCCATACAGTACCTGTTTGTCTTTACAATTGGAGTAGGAAGCACACAAGTCAGCTGCCAACCGTACACCGCGAGAGAGTTCAACAGTGGAATATAATCTGTCTGCACTTCAATTCCCTGGGGAAGAAAAATCAACTGTTAGGATTATCGCTTGATGTGTGACAATTGGCTTTTTTAAAAACGGTATTTTGTGTTGTTGTTTCTTTACAAAGTTAGATCATTTTTGCAAGTTAAGAAAAGCAGGAAGGAGAATATTTGAAAACGCAAGACACGTAGGATCATTCTCCAGTTCTTGCTGAAGAGTTAAATATATTTGCTTAAACAGTGCAAATATGCAATTTCTTTTTGGGCTCTAAACCATCCATGTGACAGCTGATGAATCAGAAAAACAGGGCTAATTAATTTTGTTTTATCAGAGCTCCCTTGGACAAGTGGCCTCCTGCAATCTTCTTTGAAAAAAAAGAAGAATTACATCCTTGCAAACAAAAAGGAATTCATGTGGCACAAAAACGCATTACACTGTGTGGTCCAGATTCTGCTCTTGACTATGCTGGTGTAAATCCTGAGCCACTCTCCTGAAGACAAGCAAGTTAACTTCCGCTTTACACCAGCAGAGCTGAGAGCTAAATTTGGCCCTCCGATTTCAAAGCATTTCATGGGGAGTTAAATGACATTATGGTGCTAATGAACCCATGTTATTTGCATCCAGCAGCAGAAAGAAAATATAAGTACAATTTGTTTTATTCCTTTTGTCACCACAGGCAAATAAACATTGCCTATTTTTTATTCTGAATCAGGAAATATGTGGGCGAGACCAAAACGTTACCTTTCACTGTAAAAGTCTAGCTTCACTCAGAGATGCTGTACAGTAGACCCTTGCTAATTCTCCCTCTGCTAATCTATAAACCCAATAATTCTCTCAAAAGGAACAGATAGTCTAAGTAAAGATTGCTACAGGGAGCACTAATATACAAAATAATCTATTGCACATTTACGCTTCAGTGTTACAAATCTTACTGAAGTATTATCATAAATTGCTAATACACTTGTCACTACAAATACTATTACACTACATGACAGTACAAATTATGCTTGCCAAAATAAATGAACAAATACATTCTGTGATGCTGAGAGAGAGAGAGAGAGAGAGAGTGTGAGTGAGTGTGTGTGTGTGTTCATTTTCTTGTTAATTCTCAAAACAGGGTAAAGCACCACAGTGTTCCCAGTCATCAATGTCAATCAGTAAGGTTCTACTTCACTACACGAGTTCAAATCAAAATCTATACATACTGTAATAACAATCATTTGAACAGACCTAATTCATATCCTGCTGTAGTAATTTAAACAGAGGCCCTGATTTTCCATTTTAATTGGGCTTTCCTTTTTGTGCATGCGATTTAGGTCACTTAAATATCTATATAACTGAAAGGCAGGTATAGTTGGGTAATTAATCACTTATATGACCTAAACTGTATATGAAACTAACTGAAGGAGCAAAATTGTACCCATTTAAAGGAAAGCCAGGATTTGAAAATCTGCACATGAGCACACATTGGATTAACCTTGCTTTGGGTTTCTTCACAGAAGCTGTCAGATGCTCACGATGATACACCTACTTACAGAGGTCAGACATATTTGCAAGGGCTGGCAGCATCACCTTATATAAGACAGCATGAAGGTACAGGAAAGGAAGAAGATGGCCTTTAAGAGAAAAGATAAATTCTAACTTAAGCTTCTGAGGAAATGAGTCAGAAGCTTATCAGAACTTCTTCAAGCCTACCATGACGGCAGAAGTGCCATGTTTATGGAGCCTCAGAGCCACACAAATCAGAGACTCCACCAATCCCACCATCTTTGTCCTCCCTCCCTCCAGCTGCCAAACTGACTTTTTCCTCTTTCCAGTTTTTAAAATGGCCCGGTGTCTGAGGAAAATCTATTAAAGGTACAGACAGATGTCCAAATGCCTTTGAAAGCAAATGCCTCAGGAAAATACTAGGTATTTTGGAATGAATTTATAACAAAATCTGAGATTTGTCAGAGAGCTCAACAACTCCTTATCTCCAGAGTTATCCAGAAAAGAAGATGGTAATACCCAGGACATGTATAAAGAATGAAACCAGAATGTTTGCTGTGGCGGGCGCGCTACTGTACAGCTGCAGGAACATGTAAAAGGAGCTAATTGAAAAAATCCCTCTATCGCACAGTACCATGAGCGGGAAAACTTTTGGGACTTAACAACAAAGGACATGCAAAGAGTGGCTCAGGACAGACAGGGATGGCTGAGCCTTGTTTGTGCCCTAAGCGATGACTGATGGTGCAGGAAGGATTCAGACTTCAGATTCAGCACCTGAGGGCTAAGATTATCAAAGAGAGCCTTCCTGTTTCATCGAGAAATGTGACAAACATGTCAAAATCTGAGAGTTGTTATGGCAACCAGGAACAGCACCACGACAACACAAATCACATTTGGCTGCTGCAGGAGCCGAACCATTTCAGCGATGCGCTGTCTTCTGCCACAGCCAGTTTTCTCAGCAGGCTCCCGCAGCGGCAAGACAATGAAACCCTATGGGATTTTGACCTATCTGACTTGTCAGACTTATGCATCACCTGTAGCAGATGATGTTATATTTCTCAACAGATGCTTAGAGAGAGAAAAGAACAGGTTAGGGTTCAACAAAATTAAAGCATTTATTAGTTCAGAAGGTTGAAGTGTATAAGAAAATTGAAGGGGAAGGATTAGGAAAAAAGGGTGGATAGAAATTGTTCTAAAGGTGGTTTCTGTTTTCCGTGTTAGTCTCATGGTGCCTTTCTATCCACCCTTTTTTCCTAATACCAGTCAACTGGGTTTTTAGCACCCATGAGAAAGCATGTCCACACCCTGCAGAGGTGCATACCTGGCCCTAGAATCACTTCCCTGGTCCTCCTTAACAGCTCTGATGGAAGTCACCCAATGCCTCCGTGGAATCAGCCAAAGTACCTCTTTCCAGGTCACCATGCCAGTGATCTGCAGGCACACACCTCCTGCCCCATCTCAACTAGCTCTGTTCAGTGGTGGTAGGTAGGGGAGAGGACAGCAGCCTTTTTTTCACCTTAAGTAATTTTTTTTTCAAGTGGAGCTCAAACTCCTCACTGGCAAATATAAGCACTAGCAGCTTCAAAACCAAGAGCCACAGAGGCACTAACATGGAAGGGCAATAAGAGGCCACGATGTGTAATTGTATCACAACTGGAATTTATGTTCCACCAGGAACCACAGCTGACTAAGACACATGGGAATACACATTTTGATAATAAGCCTGAGTGTGGAACCATGCCAAAGTGTCACCGTTATGGTTCTTTCCAAAACAAAAAGCAGCTAAATGCACAGTAAATTTTAGCAAATTTTGCCGTGCACCAAAAATAATCTTATAGTAAATGTAATTTATATTCTTGTATTAAATGTAACTATATTAAGTTCAAATACAGAAGAGCATGAGATTAAACTACTGTAATCAGGATGTTTTTGAAGCTCAGGTTTGTTAGATAGAAGCAGTAGAAAGTACATGACAGAACTCTAATGAAAAAGAAGGTGCACAAATAATACCCTGTATCAAACTGGGAGACATTTCATTCTGTGAAAGGGAGCAAAATTGTAATTAACTCACTTCCCACTCTCCTGTGGTTGGTAAGTAATCTCTGATCACACCTTGAGCGTCAAAAAACCAGAACGCATTGAGCTGTGTTTTTCCCCTGATTTGCAGCACATAATAAGATTTCATTTTTATGTATAGTTTTGCTGTTTGGTTTCAACATTTCTTCCCCCCCCTAGTCTCAGCTCATTAGAAAACTAGAAATTCCTAAAACTTGATTTTAAAAAAGGTAAAGATAATATCTAGGGCAAACCATACCACATACTGTATTAACAACATTCATTTTCTTCTACAGTTGCAGTTTTAGTCACCGAGCAACATTAAAAAAAAAAAGACTGCTAAGTTCTTGTCCGACTGAAAAAAACTCAGTCAAAATGGTTTTTTTTTAGTTAAGTAAATGTAGTTTAGTTACAAGTGAGCCAACCTTGGTCACTGCCTAATGTATATTTGCTTGCAATGTGGAGACAAAACAGACCAAGCTTAAGGAATAAAAGATGGCGCATCCCATTAAATAAGTCTTAATAAAGCACTTAAGGCAAATCCGGATGAGCTGTGCACTGAAAGGAATGATAGGGTTTGGAGGTGGAGGAGGAATCCTGGCAATCAGGATGGGGAACAGAAACACAGACAAGTTGTAACTGTCCCCTGCTTCTCTGTGTGGGGAAATGGGTTGTCAATTATTTTTATCTATTATTTGTATTGCCGTAGCACCTAGAAGCCTCATAACCATATAGGGAATGCACACCCCTGTGTCAGATTCGGGCAACCTGCCCCCAGTCACACTGTAATTATGACTCTCTATAGCCCCATGGGAAGGGAAAGTGGGGAGAGCAGGATTTGCACCTCAGAAAAAGAGAGGAATAAAAATGTGTCTGGCTCGCTGAGAATAGGCTGGTGAAGGAATGTTTTATGTCCTCTGTGCATTATGAGGTGAAAGAATCCCTAATATGGAGTTGTTAATGATATTTCTGTTCTATTTTTGCACTCTTCCCATAAAGTTATTTGGGTTAATCATATAATATTATTGATCTATTTTAAAAAGATATTTATTGTGAGCAAAAGAGAAGTTGTGTGTTTGCGTATGGTACAGCAATAAAAGTTGAACTATCCTGCTCTCAGATTGGGATCTTCCTAAATTTCAGTACATAGCATAACAGAACATTGCTAATTTGCACTGACTGGGAAGTCCACTGTGGATTACCGGCTTTCTAAATTAGACACACGTCCTGCAAACTCATCAGCTTGGGCAAACCCCTGCATCCATATACACTTCCAGTTGGTGTGAGTGATATCTACCCATGCAGATCAGTTTGCAGTATTCAGACATCAGTGAGTAACTACAACAAAATGACAGGGAGGCCTTGCACATTATTCTGGACAGGTGTAGTTCAGATAGTTCATGGTACGTGTGCACTGTGTATATTTTGAGAAAGTAACAATGCCTTAGTACAATCACTACAGCACATTGCTATGACAATTTAACTGAGA